AGCTGATCCTAAAGGCTCCAATAAGGGAAACCAAAGCTGATCCTAAAAGCTCCACTAAGGGAAACTAAACTCCTTCTGTCTTGGTTGAAAAAGTAGAACTAAAGACATAAGAAGTGAAATGTTTTCCAGAACAAAAAAGGTGTAGTCAAGCTCTGAGAATCTATGCTGGCATTTGGGTTACACAGCCAATTAACGGGTAAATTAACAACAAGAACAATCTTTCACATTTAATGCTAATTGGTATCTTGAACAGCAGCACTTACACTGTTACTGCCATCCTGATCTGATATTGTACCGGGAAGCTTTTGCTCAGCGCGGTGATCCTGCTGGAGTTTGAGTTATCACTGAGGAATTAAAACACAGCCGGTGAGATCATCAAACCTCCGGCTCAGAGCAGCTGCTCAGCTCTATTAGAGCCTCTTTTGCACCTGTTTGCAGCCACAGTCATCAGCATCGTGTCGTTCCAGGAGAAGTCTTTGATGAGACGGAAAGAAACCAGAAACGTGGCCTTCAGGGAAGAAGAGACGGTGATGTCAGGACTCAGGTTTAATGGCTGTAGATGTTGGTAACGTGGAGGCTTCTGTCTGCCAGGAGGTCAAAGGTCAGACTTACAGACATCCTGCTGCGGAACACCGGGAGGCTGACATCACACACCGTCCGGTCCAAAACTTCTTCTTCTTCTCCGTCCCTGCAGTTGTGCAGCGTTGGTCTGGTGCCCTGTGGGAGGAGGTGGGAGCAGACTGAGAGGGCTGGGACAGAAGAAACCGAACCGTTTATCACGTCTACGGGCGGGTTCAGCAGAAGCTGCTGCTTTTTTAGGTTCTGCTGTTCGGATAAAGACTAGATCCAGTTTCATTCTGCGTTCAGAGAGTGAAAAAAATGTGGGAGGGAGCGAGGTTTTTCAGTTCTGCCGCTCAGTTTCTGTTTGAGTTTGTGTGTCCTGTGTTGGTTTAAAAGGAGAAAAAATAAGTCTGCCTACTTGGCATCAACGTTCAGCTCAACATAAGACTGTAAAACACCAACAGAAATCTTCCTATTGAATATGAAACATGTTATTCAACAGCTTTCGCCTTGTTCTGATTTTTCATCGTGATTTTTCACCGCCATTTTGCCTTTCTTTGTACATCTACATCCCCAAATTATGTGGACAAACTCCTTAAATCGGGGCGGCATGGTGGTAAGCACCTCACAGCAAGAGGGTTCTGGGTTATAGTCCCGGGGGAACCAGGACCAGAGGGTTCTGGGTTGGAGTCCCCGGGGGAACCAGGACCAGAGGGTTCTGGGTTGGA